TTAAATGGAGTTTTGACGAGTAGTGGAAGTGATAGTACATAATAGCGCAAGATAGGCGAAGCAGGGCGCGAAAACTGGCGTATTTAAAAGAATGAATGGCTTCAAAAAAGAAGTAAAATTAGGGATCGGACAAGAATGAAGTTACATGAAAAGGGAAAGGGCATTTGGACAATTCGTTCAAATGTGCACGGCATTGTATACAGCTGGCTGCAGTCAACTGCTTGCGTGCAATGTGTTGGTCCCGGTGTGAATGGTGCAACCCTACACCATTCGCACCAAGACCCACATCTAACGCGTGAGTATGTGTCAAGTCGTGCGTCCGAGGACGCGCGCGGCAAATTGCGCGGCGAAATTCGTGATGATTCGAACGACTCTGACGCCTACTATTGGAGCACAAACTTGAAGTAGAGTAGATTAGTAGAATCAGCTGATCATACCCGACTATTCTACTTCAAGTTTGTGCCCCAATAGGCGTCAGAATCGTTCGAATCGCACCGACCTTCGCCGCGCGCGTCCTCGGACGCACGACCCCTAGCATGTAGGCAGCTTACTGCAGCCTGTTGTATAAGAAGGCAAGAGCGAGCGGAGCGGTAGTGTAAGGGGTAAGAGCATGGGGGCACGGTGCAACCTCTACAATTTCTACACACCATTACTGCGTTGATGCTTAACATTGAAACGACGACTACATATCTTCAAGCAAACTTCGAGCGTTCATTACTTTTTTGGAAAAGTCATTTTGCAGTTCCAATTTCTGTGTTCATAAACAGCATTCCAATCTCTATGAAATACTTGGTCTCCATTCCGAATTCCATGATAAGTAAAATAGCCAAATTCAGCAAGTAACTACTGTTTCGAGCTTCACCCCTGCACCCAACTCACGGGTCCGGGAACTTCTCCCCTAACACGGCGTCGCACACGCCGCACCCGCCGCCTATCGCAGGATTGCGATGGAAGATTGGAGCGCGCAATTTGTGAGGTAGGGAGTCCTTTAATTATTTGAATTGGCTGGCCGCTCTTTTCAATTCCAATGCGGTCTTGATCGTCGTTTATATAGGAGAAGACATTTTGATTGATCAAGTCTAATAAACATGAAAACTAAGAAGAAACAGGAGAAAAAACGATAAAATCCAATGAAAAAGCAGGCCAGTCAAGGAAAAATATCGCGTCCTATCGATTGGCGGGAGTACGGTAATTGCAGTGACATTTGCCGCATGCCGCAAGGGAGTATGCCGCGATAGGGGAGAAGTTCCGTTACCCCCCAACTCACAGATCGTGTGATGAACAGGAACGAATTGATGAAACCTGTCCTCCTATGCTAACTCATGTTCAGTTCTCTGAGGTATAGAAGAGACATAGCCGTTTAAGAGCTTCAAGCTACTACCATGTAATCATCATCTTTCAATTACGGAATATCAAGCAATTTGCTTGTTTCTCGACTCATCTATTGCTGCGAACTTATAATATTTTATATTAAAGAGAAATTACATCTTTTCCATTTACATTCTTTCCAGAACTCCAAAAACTCGAGAGTTGGGCAGAAGTATCGGTTTCATGGAGCCAACTCGTCGCGTGCGGCACCCGCTGCGGACGAGCTTCCTCGTTCTTGCGTACGTCCCACGGTTCGAATAATAAGCAACTGCTATTTCTGCTTTCTTCCTGTATCTTTCTTACCTCGTTGCTCTGGTTTCGTACGTGCGTGCATAACCCCGCGCAGACAAAGTCGATGCAATTGCACCACACCACAAAGACCTCGTAAGATAAATACAAGTGCACTAATTGATAAGTGACAAAATGAATGGGTTACTGAGTTAAACTGTCTTATTAATGATCTGCGAGAAGATATTCTATGAAAGAAAAAAAGAAACCTAAGAAGTTGGACATCATAAGCCACGTCTAAGCTAGCGGTGTCGCGGCATAACTACAACCAGTCGGGCCGCCCGGCTAACGCCGGGCTTCCCTCCTTCTTATGGTGTCGCCCGGCTTCGCCGGG